AGTTGTCATAGTAATCAAATGAAATGAAAGTCACCGCAACCATGTCATATCAGAAAGTGTTATCCTCGAAATCCAGTTAGTCTGGGAAGAAAGCAGTGGTGGCCCCAGAGCCAAAGGGAACTGGATGCAGGTTGTCTTCTGGAATACGCTTACTTCCAGCATCGGAAGGAGCTGTTCCAGTTCAAAGATGCGAGAGGCAGAACTACAATTTTGTAACCCGCCCAACGAAAAAGTCAAGTAACGAAGGCGACTAATCCGACAGGACTCCCATTACGCGTATAGCCTACAAGGGGTACTTGTGATGCACGCATCAAATGGGGGAAACTGTCTCCAGGACGAGACTCGTGCTGAGACCTTTATAAATAGTGAAGTGGTGTTAAGTGATCCAAGACTGGAAGAAGCGCGAGGGGGGGATGCAGTCATTTGGTAGGCTGGTCTGTGGTCTGGAGCTAGGAACAGGGGTTCTAACTTACGCCTGTCAACGCGACGATCGATTGGGCAATTCAGGGCTCAATTTTTGTCAGCTGTTGTCGTAATCAAGGCTAATCTAGCAAGTTAAGACGAAGATGAAGATGAAGATGCACGAGAAGGGGGTGGAGGAGATGAAAAGCCACTTCCGGTAGTACTGTTGGCGTTGCTGTTGGTCCGCCTTGTTGGTGCGACTGTTGTTAGACTTGTTGTCGTCGGCCGTCGCCGAGTGAAGGCAAATGATGATGGCACAGAACAGATGACCAAATCGGCAGTTGCTCAATCTCGCGGGCGGATTAGCAGCAGCCGTGCGGCTATGGCAGTTTGCAGAAGTCGAGGGGGCCAACAGGCAGTGGAGGTTGGGCAAAGTGGGTGGAGCAGAAATGGACAGTGAGGATATGCTTAGTCTACACGCTGGCATGGAAACGGGGGAGTCGAAGTGGTACGGTCGGTGCCAACAGACGCAGACACATGTCGCCACGGTAGGATACAGTAAGGCATAGCCAAACACACACACACACTCGCACACACAGGACTTTATCAATATACGTATGTTTGTGTGTGGTGTTTCTGTATGTGTTTGTGTGTAGTACCTCTGAGGGCGGATTGGATGTGTTTCTGGGCGGACTTTTTTGAGAAGGTGACAGTTGGCCCTCTGGCAAGTGGGCAGGCGGCAAGAGGAGCTGAGGGCGTAGCGGTGGATGGCTCAAGTCGTGAGGACGGGAGAATTGTGGCCAACCAGTCGGTGTGACTCGACTCGGCTACAGTGTGCCGTCGAGCCTGCCTATCGCAGTCTCATTGGTACACGTTCGAACACCCGAGCCGACAAATGCCCACGTCTCGCTTCGTCGCGTCTCCGCGTCGCTGCTCTTCCCTATTCGCCCTTTCCACACGCACTGCCCAGCCAGGTCTCTCCGTCTCTTCTGCTCTCGGCCTAGACCGTGTAGGCCTGTATTCACATTTGGTACAAAAAGGCCGGTTAAAGTTCCAGCATACGAGAAAGATCAGGCGCGCCTGCCGGGATATCCCGTGGGGTAGGCATGGAAGTGATCGGAAATCAATGTTTGCCTCGGTCTTGGCTCGGACAGAGAGATCGGATTGAGTGGATTGGCCGAGTCTGGATGGGAGTGTGGCGGTGTGAGGCGGGTGGGGTGGGGAGAGGCTAGGGGCATAGTCAGATGGGGAAACTGGGAGAGCCTCGCCTCTCAGTCTGCCTAACCCCACGTCTCTCGCCTACCGACAGTTGGCACCGTCGAATGTGCCCCAGACCCGTAGGCGACGAGGAGAGGGAGAGAGAGCTCGCAGAAGAAGCATAGGACGCACACAATTGGCGCAAGCTCGCCAATAGCTGCTCCGATGCTCGACCCTCCCCAAGTTCCCTCGAGCCCTGACGGCATACCAACCGTCCTCTCTCAGACTGTCCACTTGTACGGTCCATGCCTTGTTCTCCACCCTCTGCCCCCTCGGCCTCATTAAACGTTTCGCTTCGGCAACATGTCTGTCCGTCTGTACATGGCTCCCGCTCTGGGAGGATTAACGGGTTAGGCAGACACGAGAAAGAGCACGACTGTACCGGCCATTTGTTCATTACTCGCCTTCCCCACTCAACTCAGACTTAAGCCCAGAGGAAGGCACACCTGACCTGCCGTCTTCTCATTTTTAGCCGGTGCTCTGGTTGCCGACTCTTAACGTCCTCTGTACGTCGCTGTGGCCACAAATCCGACCAATGAAACCGCCTAGTCGGGCAAGTCAGATGAACGTCAGGCAAAACATGCCGGGGATTAGCTACGAATAGCGCCAGTATCGAGGAGGACAGCTGTACAGCCGAAGCAGATCTGGGCCTCGGAGACTATCAGTCAACCTTGAATAAGAGTTCTAGTCATACTATGCTTGGCATCGGGCTGAACTCTTATTCAGGACCTACCGGTAGTCTCGGAAACCTACTTTATTAAAATATAAGTAACGTAGTTGAATGTAATGGTAAAACATCAATTTAAGGTTGACCTCGTTTTTCTCAACTCGTTCAAAACTTCAACGAGGCATCGTGGAATATAATGACCATGATAATTTATTGTATTGGACCGGTGACTTGGTACATTCTCGGAAG